CACATCTATGAAATATTGGACTGTATTCCTGTTGGGGGGTTGATACTAATCGAGCATATTGAGACTGGTGCATCTTGACTGAAATATGTGGAGTTTAGAGGCAAACATATGGCAACAGCGTTACGTCGGACTTCACCAACCCACGAAGGCCACACCCTCCAGTGAAAACTGTATGGGATCATCCTGATTAGGTCATGGGGGTCAGACAGGGAGCGTTCCAATTTAAATTCAATTCAAATTCAAAAATACTTTATTAATCCCAGAGGGAAATTAAATGTTGTTGTAGCTCATTTTCCTTGTTTCATAAAAGAGTTGTTCTAGATGTTGATGGTTGTGGGTGGGAAGGATCTCTTGTGATGGTCCGTCTTATAGCAGATCTGAAAAAACTGGCCACAGATGTTGATCCGTTTACTTGCACTTGGTTGGCCTCCTGGGCTTCAGGATCACCTGAATGTTAGGCAGAAATCCTCCCAGGGTAATGGCCACTCCTCCCAGCAGCTTGTTGAGCTCCTCATCGCTGCGGACAGCCAACTGTAGGTGCTGATGGACGATCCTGTCCTTCCGCTGTCATGAGCCGTGTTTCCTGCTAGTTCCAGGATCTCAGTGGTCAGGCACTCGAGCACAGCTGGCAGTTGGATGAAAATGCGTCCACAGAACATCCTTTTCAACTCATTTGAAATTTAGGCTGTAGTTGAGATATTACTTGAGCTTTTGAGATATTAATCAGCTGCTGTTGGTTGTAGAAACTTCCTTGTTGCCATGGTTACGCATCATAACAAATGTCCAAAACTAAAAAAAGTTTCAGTAAAAATCCTTCCAGCTGATAAAATAGCGCCATATCTCAACAAAGTTGTCACAGGACACTTTACAGGAACATTCACATACATAGAAATATACAAATACATAAATGCATACATAAATACATAAATACATAAATATATATATATATATATATATATATATATATATATATATATATATACAAAAACACACACACACATATATATATATATATATATATATATATATATGTATATATATATATATATGTATATATATATATATTTATATATTTATATATTAAACACACACACACATATACCAGTGTGTACAGTATATATACAAACACACATACATAAATGTACAGTATATATACAGTATATATACAAACACAGAAATAGATGTACAGTATATATAAAACACACACACACATACAGTATATATACAAACACACATTAATCCAGTTGGTCAGAGTTGCTCCTCTTCCTCTTTGTCTCTATTAAAACCATGTTTTTGGAGTTCGTTTTGAACCTTGTAATGTTCGGACTGTAAGTCTGTGATTTACTTGCTCTACAAACAGAAACTACTTTTTAGTGTCGTTCCAACAAAAGGGAGTTTAACGTTGAACTCAACCTTGATATTATATATTTCCTGTCTAAAGAAACACATTTTCATGTTTCAGAAAAAGAGAAAGCTATGTTTTGCCTTCTACATTATTTGTGAGGTCAAAAAATAAACCAGATTAGTTAGTTTGATTAAATATGATGCAAAAATTGTGAATTTGTATTATGTCTATAGCCAGTTTTACAAAATATCCGTAAGGATATGTAAATGTGAATGTAAATGCGTTTATTAAAGCATTGCAGTAAACGTCATCTCAGTAATTCAGATCACACAGCACCAACATGCTTAACACAAGGAGAGGTTTTTGCTCCAGGATATAATTTCTCTTCTTTCATATGGACATGCGTCTTTTGTGTTGTGTTTGAGCGTCACATTTTGTTTAGTCATCTATTATTACACTATTATTACACCGAGAAAGTTGTTTTCATTTTCATTATTCTGTCATGAAGGAGCCATTTTCCTGGGCTCAGCTCATAGTGTTTGTTAGTGTGTGATTGATTTATGACATGTTGGGACATTGAATCAAAATGAGAAATATATATTTATGTAGTGGTTTGAAACTGTTAGAGCACATGGAGAACATATATTCACTGTGTGTGTGTGTGTG